ACCTCAAATATATCTGGCAAAAGTGTGCCTGTGGTTACTTGTTAATCTTGTAGTGGCAAAAACCTTAACACTACGGAGTTCCACCACACTCTTTTGCTTGTCTCTCCACAGGCTGTCACAGTAACAGTGACACATGCACTTCCCTTTCTTTTTTACTATCAACTCCTTTTACTTTAAATAAATACTTCTAGAATTGGCAGCAACTTCTTTTACAGAGTCATCAATTTCCTCTCAGATCAACAAAATTCAACATCAGAAACTAGATAAGACCTCGCTTCTCAGACAACTACTCACTGAGTGTGAAATCTGTTCACTCACTCACAGGATAAGCTATTGCTGCTGCCGTCCTTCTCTATCTTTTATGTGGGTTCTAGGGACTCCAACTTGGGTCCTCTTGCTTTCAAGATAAATACTTTATTGACCAAGCTGTCTCCCCAGCCCCAAATGAGTTTCTTGCTTAGTACTCTGAATTCTCATTGAGCCGTAAGTGTGTTCACAAGGAGAACCTGAACTGGCCTGACCACTGAAGAACATCACAGGTGCTCACAGTAAATAGTGCACACACTCTTGGTGGTATTGTGCTCACTTTCTTCATGGATCTGCTTTTCTTAATCCCTTTTCTGTTCTCAATTCCTTCATCTGGTAAGAATTTCTTGAAAACCCTCAAAAACAAAATTCCATTTTTAAAAGTTTATTTCCATTATTTAATTTTTATTTTCTTATAAACAGAATCATTACTGGAAAGAAGATAGCAGGACCTGATTCTTCTCCATGCACAGCTAGAGACATGGATGAGACTTTTCCATCACTACAATGAACAAGGCCCTGAAGACAACAGTGATTCGAAGGAAGTACAACTTTGTTCTATAGCTAAGGATAAACCAGAGGCACAGAAAGGAGAAGGACTTCATAAGCAGTCAGACTGGTAACGGGAGGGCAAAACAATTGGGACTTTAACTATGTATGCTCTTGGCCAGGCTCTGCCAGGATACATCTGTGATGTCAGCACTTGGCTATCAGGAAAAGGATCACAAGTTCAAGGCCAATATGAATCACATAACAAAACTTTTTATGCTGCCTGCCTTCCCCTTGTTCTTCTCCAATCACTCATCTCAGCTTTTAAGAGGCTTCTAGAAGGATGCCACTCTCACGCTTCATCTAGAGTCCTATTTCTTCCCACCACTAAACCACAGTTGATAGAAGAAGGTACAATGGAAAACTTAAGAGAAATTCCCACAATGTGACCCCCACACCCTGCTACCTCAAGAAAAAGAATCAAGATTTTCTGATTCAAGCGCTCTTTTGCTTTTGCAATTCAAAGTTTCTACCCAGGCAGTGTAACCCAGAGCAAAGGCACGGAAGCAGGAAGCCCTGACCTGTGCTTTCACTGATGGCCAATGCTCATCCACTATACCAACTTACTCAGTCTCTTTGCTGCCTCAAGAGCCTCCGTAGCAGTGTTGGCAACAAAAAACCTTTGAACTCTCACTCCATGCTCTGACATGAGCTTCTTGCTCTGGTATTCCTGCAGGTTCAGCCATCTTCTGGAGGTTAAGTGAACTGCCTACGGAGAGAGGGGAGGACATTAATAAGAACAGGAAACAGAACTCTTGATCTAGGTGACCAGTCTTACAGGTACTATTAACCAGCAATGAGCAACATTCAACTTAAAGACACAGATCTAAGTAAATCCTCCACAATGCTTTTTTACTGGAAAATGTCAAGAAACAGTTATATACACAAAAATAAATTCAAATGTTTAAAAAAGTTGTAAAGGTACAGCTATGATGACCTGCACAAGATTGGGTGAATTTCCTTTCTGTCAATGTGAGGGAGGGACTCAAGAGGCCTCATCCAGCCCTGAATACTAGACATTTAATAGATGTTTGGGGACAGAGAGACATTTTTGTAGGTGATAGTCACTGAGTAAGTTGGACATACTTCGAAGTAACCCTTATTAAACTCATTGGATCACAGTCTCACATCCCCTAACTACATTCTAAATATTGAGTCTTACACCCAGAGAAGTATAATCCTCATCTCTCATCAAGGAAACTTCTTGCAACAGGACTTCTTCAGAAAACCACAAACAACCAAAATGAGTTGTAGATCCAGTCCCAATGTATACATTTACAAAACAACTCCCTCACCTAATGCTTAAGGATCAGTGCGGAAGACAGTAAGAGCCAGAAGATCAAGGAATTTGCCATGATATTGTGTCTCCTAGCATTGTGTTTACTAGAACTGTGTCCCTAGCAATATCAGAACCTGCACCCATAAAGTCTCACTAACATGACATGACTGCCTAACCAAGAAGTGAACAAGCATAACAACAATAGACAGGCTAATGTGGACAGGAGAAAGCCCAAGAGGCCTCAGTGCTTCCCAAAGAACTACTGGCAATTAAGGAATGCCAAACACTGAAGAAATAGTCTTCCCAAATGGCCAGTCCCAAAGACATTTATAAAAGTAACATTATACAGACTAAGCAGGTTGTGTTTAGGACTGTATATGCATGTATGTATGTAACAACAATTAATGGGAAAGAAAGCCATGAATTAGAAAAAGAGAAAGGAGGGTTTATGGGAGAGTTTACAGGGAGGAAAAGAGAGGGGAAAATAACATAATTATATTAAAATCTCAAAAAAATTAATAAAATTTGACCTCTTAACATATGCTATTAAAAAAAAACTCAAAGTAGTTTTTAAAAAAGAAGTTCAATAATTTAGGTATAGAAAGACAGCCATGCAAATTTCTGGTTTTAGTGTTGTTCTGGAATTGTATCAGATGTCAACATTAGAGCAAGTAGGCAGACAGAGGATGCATGAGACTGTCCCTGGGTATTTTATTTGGTTTTACTGTAGCATTCTGTGAGCTAGTAATTATTTTCAGATCAGAAGTTATTCTGGAAAAACATTAAAGGTCCACCCACACAGCTATGCCTCCCTTAACTCACCTGGCCCAACAGCATTATCTTAATAGTTACTATACACCATTAATCACATGCAGGCAAATCTTAGGGGAAATAGTTTTAACTCTATAAGGTCATGGAACCACATACTAATTCACTTCTTTTTAAAGATTTTTCTAAATGTGTGTGTATGTGTGCCTGTATCAGTGAGTTTCTGTGCACCATGTGCGTGCCAGTGCTTGTGGGAGCCAAAGGGTGCCAGGTACACTGAAGTTATAGGCTTTTGTGAGTCGCCTGATATGGATGCTGGAAAGTGAACTCAGGTCATTTGCCAACGTAGTGTATGCTCTTGATAGCTGAGCAATCTTCCTAGCTCCTTAAATCACTATTTTATTTTAGTTTCTAACCGGCTTTAGACAGACATTTTGAATGGTAAGATCTCACTTATATACAAACACTGAGTACAGTTACCTAAAAGTCTTCATTATTAGACTACTGCTCAGCTACAATTGGATATTATGTAACCTTGCTTTAAGATTCAGTAGAAGTGAGGTTTTTATTTCAAAGCACACTATCAATTACTTTTTAAATTTATGTCAACAGAATATAAAGAACAAGATGACATGCACATAAATTACTTTTGTATTTTATCCAATAACATTAACAGCATATCCTACCAAAACTATAAATCTCATTTGCAATGAAAAAAGGAATATATTTAGTTACGCTTACACCCATGAGTCATAATATTAAGGAACTTATAGGAGATGACTGTCCATTAATGCAAATTAAAAGTTTAACCATAGCTGGATTAAACTGGATAACCTGATATCTGACCCCTACCAGCTCCTACCATGGTCTCCATGAATGTCCAAGACAATATCAGACTGATCACATTGCTAGGGCCTTAAGTGTTAGTATTCAGGAATGCCTATGGGCCGGCCTTGGGGGATCTAACAGGCTATGCCCTCTGCTGTAGCCACTAAGAGCACCACCACCTGTGCATATTCACTACATTCCTTTCCAAAGGGCCCTGCCCACCTATCTTGCTCTCACTCCCTGCTGCCCTCCCCTTTCTCTTCCACCACTCTTATCTCTGGGGACCAGTCTCTGCCCCCCCTTCCCCTTTTTCTGTCCCTTCTCTCTCCTCTTCCAATAAACCTCTTATGTGAGTCCTGTGCATGGTGTGACTTCTCTTTGAAGTGTTTTTGTTTTTTTTTTTTTTTAAATTACAACACTAAGGACTGTGCATTGAAGCTTCTTTCCCTTTCAGAAGCTCTGAAGTGTCCTTAAAATATCATTTCCTGTAACCTCCAAACTAGGATGTACTCATTAGCTCTTTCAAACAGGCAACCAAAATGGTTCACAGACATGTCCAACCTGAGACCTGACGACCACGTGTAGCCCAGGACAACTATGAATATGGCCTAACACATTTGTAAAACAGTGTTGAACCACAACGTCAAAAGGTTGGACACCCCTGCTATACCCTTACAGACAGATGAGCTTTCTACTCTAAGGCAGTGTGTTCTAAACTTTCTGACATTGTTAGGAAAATATCTTAATTGGCAAATGGGAAATACCAAAAATAAGTCAGTGAGATGACCAAAGGAATAAAGTTTGCCTTTTGTCCCCAATACAAAGATTGTTCTACTCCCAGAAACTGACTACCTCTAAACTAGAAAAATAAAAGTCATCCCTTAGGACTTGAAATAAATATAACTCATGTATACTTGTAAAGTACTGAAGGTTTTACATGATCAAGCCTAAGGATCAGTCCTCCTATCTATCTGTATGTATTAATGTACATATATAGTTTACAATGTTAATACTGAATTTGACTATAACTCCTCTTTAAAAATTAATAATATCTGAATAAAACTTAAAGCCAGGACAAACAATGCTCACACCATCCAATTTTTTAATACTTCTTAATCTTACTTCTGACTTTCTAAGTCTTAATGAAACATTAGTAACTTGAAAAACACAAATTTGATAAATGAACACACTCAAAGGCTTAATAGTCTGCTACATTCCACATTCCAAGAAAAACACAAGTTTAAGGTATTTAGTAAAAGCCATTTAATGAAAGAAAGCATTAAATGTTACACACATGTCATTATCAGGGACTACTTTTAAAAGGCAAATGGGAAGAATCAATAGATTAGGCCTAAGTTGACATACCAATTTAAAGCCATTAACCAAAGAAGAAAAAAGTATAGTCTGAAAAGCACATTTGAGAGAAACTAAAAGGAGCCACCGTGTGGTCACGGTCAATTCCTTTTCATTAGACCACTGGCTGTATTAATTTCAGATATGTTAATGCAATCTGCTGCAAACTAATTGCAATTGATCCAGAGACCAGCATCAAAGACATATAATACATATTGACTGATTCTACATTGACTCAAATGAATGCCAGCTTAAAGTCACTTGCTCTTAAATTGAAAACCAAGACAGTGAGCAGACTTGCACGGCCTGTGCTAATGCCCAGTCTTATCACTCACATAGTAATCCTCTTACAGAAGTGTCAGCTGACTGTGCTCAACCAAAACCTTGGAAGAGTTGGGTCACTGACTAGGTCTAAACTTCATTACATCATCTCCAATTCTTAAGATTTTGTGATTGGTTAAGGAGATGATTCAGTTGGCAAAATGCTTACTATACAAGAATGAGGACTGGAGTTCAATCCCAGAGATCATATAAAGCTAGTAACAGTAACATGTGTTTATAATCCTAGAGCTAGGGAGGTGAAGATAGGTGGAAACCCAGGGTTACTAGTTATCCAGCCTAACCTACTTGGCAAGTTCCAGACCAATAATAGAGCCTACCTCAAAATACATACATACATACATACATACATACATACATACATACATTGTATAGCACCTAAAGAACAACTGAGGTTGTGGCCTATACACACACAAACACACACACACACCCCTGCACATCCACCAAAACACACAAGTTACATACATATGTGTGTACATGTAAGTAGATAGGTAGCCGTCGGTGTGAGCATATGAATTTTGGCTAAGTCCATTCAAGAACCACTTAGTCTACTTCTGTATTTTTAAGGGGACTAAGAATTGCTAAACAAGTGGATGGTAAAGACATAATATAAAACTACTGGCTACTATAATAACTTTTCTATCATTGAGCACTGATGCTGTACTAGACATTTCACTATGTGCTGATGCAATCTAATGTCCAAAGCAGTCACGAAGTCAAGTTTTATTCTCTCCATGTGTAGCTATCATTAGTGCAAACCCACAAGTACTCTCGAAATTCTTCCTTTGGTTGAAATTAAGTGAGGTCATGTCACTAGTTCCAGCCAATAGGTCCATGAATACATATTATGTGTGAGAGAACCAAGAAACATTAGATTACCACCCCCACCTCATTTTAGTTCTCCCCCACCTCTCAGGTGGAACAACAATAGGAGACAATCTATCAGCCAGGAGTTTGAAGAAACACATCCCAGAGGTGGCTCACAACAAACACATAGTGAAAAGTAAACCTCTGTGGACTTTAGTCACTGTGATTCTGGGGTTATTACTATTGTAGACTGCTGTAGAATATTAATTTACTATGTAAAGATGTGCAATGTTTGTTCATGCTGCATTGGTTTAACTATGTAAAGAAGTGTTACATTTGTTTCACCTTGCCTG